GAAATAGTTTGATTTCAAAATTTGGTTCCAAGGTACCAGGGATGAATGTACTTTCACCCAATGCTAACCATTTTTTCAGGTCAAGCCATCAGAGTTTTTGACCCAAAATGTACAACGGTGTACAGCATTGTAATTTTGAAAATCTATCTTAAAAAACGTACAATATTAAATTGAAACTATTTTATTAAAAAACAAAAATATACGATGAATTATTCTAAATAGTAAGGAAAGAAACTACAACTTCACTAGACTAACATTAAATAAACTGAATAACATTACAAAGATTTTAATTGCATAACTTGGTTCCATAAAACCATAAAAATTATATATTAAAAATTTAATCGGACACTGTCCTACCCAAACAAGTTTTGATTGGAAATTTTATCTGGGACTTTTTTAAAAAAATAAATTGAGACCTGAATAATGATTTGAAGTTTGTTAAACTTAATGTACCATCTTGAAGATCACAATATAAATGCTGAGCATCACTTATTTGCTACACCCTATGGCAAAATTCATAGGAGGAACTATAAACTAGGCCTTCTCGTAAGAGGCGTGCGATCAGATGCTTTACATGACCACACATATAGTTCTTTGTTTGAACCACGGCTTGACCACGGCTCTTTACAAGTTTTGACAATTAGTGTGGTTTAAAAAATACGCTAAAAAAAACAAAGCAAATGTAAACGTGAGTTTTAATTGAATTGATTCCATAATTACAATTAAACTGCCACAAAATTTCTTGAGTACTTTAATGGAACTTAATAAAAGCAATCGTTGAAAAAAATATTCAGATTAGAGTTTATAATTACAAACCGTTTTATCATGAAAATATAATTTCTAATAAAGAAATTATTTACAAAAAAAAGAATTACAATAATCTTGAAACAAACGCATTTGCCAACTTTTTTTTACCTTTTTTTTAACTTTTTTGACGTACCGTTTTTTTAAATGAACCTTAACTTGCGGATCTTTATTTATTGACAAACGCCTAATTTAAGAGATTTATGTCAAACAAATTTCAAATAATTTTTATTCTAGTTAATAAGTTATTAAATATATCAAAGATGCTTGGTAAATTTATTTAAATAATAATTATAAATTGTTATTTTTCAAAAACCTTTTTTTTACACATTTGCAAAGCGCGTGCAAATTAATGATGAATGTACAATAAAAAAACTTATAAAAGTGTTTTTAATATGCAAACAAACATTATTTCACTTTATGGAAAATAAGAAAATTAAAAAAAAAGCATGCACAATTTTATTTATAATGAAATCATTTGCTTTAAACTTTTAATGTAATTGCTAAAACCAGAAAAGAAACCAAGCTTAAACATTACAATCGCTTTCTTCAATAAAAGAAATCAATCAAATTGTTTAAGGACGGTTTCTTTTGAAGTTTTTGCAAAACCATCTATTTTAAGTAAAATTATAATATTTTACTTAAAAGTGACGCTATTGAAAAAAGTAATTATGTTTCAGCATTTTTTTAAAAAAACTCTCTGTAATTAATTGTTTTTCATTTTAAATATGTGTTTTTTGTAATAAATAAAAAACTATTGATCGCAAAATTGTTTTGAAAAAATTGCTGAAGTAATGCATTTGCTTTGAAAAATCTTAATCAAACGGCAATGTTTGCATAAGCAAAATTAAAGAAACGTGATGTTTGTTTTTCTGTCCTTCAAAGAAATGCGCGCACATTTGTCGATTTGTTGCACCCTGTATACTAATAACTTTATAATAAAACTTTAAATTTGCACCACAAAATTTTATTAAATTCATAGATTATCCAGCCCATATTTTAAAAATCCTGAAAGTTTTTTTCCTTAAATATCCGGAAAAAATCCTGAAAATTTTTTGGTAATATCCGGAAAAAATCCGGAATTTACAAAGAGATTTTAGCGTTTTGGATTTTTGTAGTAATTTTATGAATTAAACCAACATATATCCGACACTTTAGCTTCCCAACTTCTTTAAGTAAACATTTTATTACCTGTAAAATACCAACTTTTGGAAAATATAAATGGATTTAATTTTAATTATTTTTAGAGGATACTTCAATCGCAGTAAAAAGATAGGAAATAATAATAATAATAAAACACCAGACTTCTAAAATACAAAAAATAAGAAATCTTTAGTAATAAATATGTTAAAAAAAAAAAAATAATAAAATAAAAAGTAAAAAGATATTGAATTATTTTTCTGTAATAAGTTAGTTTTCTACAATTAGTTCTTCCACTCAGTGCCTAAAATGTTCTAAACTTAATTTTTAGTACAATGACTTCTTTTATTAAAAAATCTCCACGTTCAAAAATTATAAAAGTTTAAATGTTCGTTAGATAAAGTTTAAATAAAAATTTAAAATTTATTTTAACTATGATAACAAAAGGTGAGGCATTATTAATGATACACGTGCTCATTCATGCGATTCAAAATTTTATATTATAGATTTAAAAATATGATTCTTTTTTTAAATTGAAAGAAAATAAAATTAATTTTGACACGCGCTTTTTGAGTTGAAAAAAAAACGTGCCTCAAAATGCGATGTTTTTAAAAACCTAATAATGGCACTTAAAAGCAATTTGATTCACTTGACGTTTAGTCAAAGTGCATATGTTTAGATTTCTTTAAATAATTACATAGAATAAAATCCTTATAGTTTAGAATATAGTTTAATTATATAACACTTATTTGTATGTAATAACTTATTACTAACAAAGTAATTAATCTTAGTCAGTAATAATAAGTTTTTTTGTAAGTTTTTTTCACCCTTTACGAAAACAAGTTGTACCGCATGACCATAATGTTACACCATGGTATTATAGTAACTGTAAGATTAATAGAAGCTTCTACTAGTTGAAGGTCATACCCAATTTCTCATTCTTAGATTGAACTATAGAATATTTCACTGCACTCTAGAATTAGATTTCAAGAATCTCTAAAGAGTTTAAATTTAACGATATATCTCATATTTGACAGAAATTAAAAACTGATTTCTCTGACAGCTTTTGTAATAGAATTTTTATTTACGAGAACCTTTTATTCTACCATCGTCCTAACTTTTTAAATACCATCGTCAAAACTTTTTAAAGTATTCAGTTAATAAGAAATTATGCGAAAAAATGATATTTTTAAGAAGTGTGTACGAAATGAGACTTGCGATGGTACAACTGGACAGAAAACGAAATAATGATGCAATAAATTTTAAACCACCGACAAACAAACTGAGAGAAGTTTCAGCCCATAAGCGAAATGATTTACTTAAAAAAAGTTTTTAAAAAATAAAAAAAGAAATCTCTTTGCTAATAGCTAAAAGAGCCATTTAAAAAATGTAAATTTACAATTTTTTTAAAAAAGAGAAGAGTTTGACACACATCGCTAATTTTATTTTAAAAGTAGGAGATCATTCGCTCCTTTGAGCTGGGACTTTTATTAAACTTTAATTAAAATGCTTATTAATTTTTGGTTTACTCTGCGAGGGAAATCTTTTAATCTTTTTGGCTTTGTTTGTTAACTAAATATAACATTCCGTAATATATGGACAACAAATACTTGTTACTGTTTCATTTAATGACAGTAATAAACAGAAAAAATCTTATAAATTGTATTTTCGGAAACTATTTAATTATTCGGAAAATATAAAAAATTTAAAAAATATCTGGAATTCCGGAAGTATCCGAAAAAAGATAATTCCTGTAAATTTCATGACCCTTTCCCTCAATATGGATCCGCCCTTGTATTAGCCTATTTATTCATGGGAAGGAATGATAAAGATTATTAGAGCTGTGATTTTTTTACTTTTGCTTCCAATTAAGTTAAAATTAATTAATAAATGCTTTGATTTTTTTTCTGGTTTTTTCTTTATTTATTTTATCAAATATTTTACTTTTTTAGGTTAATTTTTGTTATATATATTATTTTAAGGATTTTATTCTCTTTTCAGTTTATGGATTGTTTATTTTGATTTGCTTTGTTTTTTTTAACGCAATTTATAAATGCTAATTATCAAACTTGCAATGAGACGTGGTCAAGTAGTTAAAACAAAGAACTATATGCGTGGTCATATAAGGCATGCAATTGCACACCTCTTACAAGAAGGCCTGATAAACAGAGAAGCAGCAAAAGCAAGTCTACAAGCAGCAAATTCAAACCAGATTCTAACACCAAATGAATGTTTACATGGGCTGAAAAAATTAAATTACTAAAGAAATTAGTGTATTTGTTTTTCATGTGTAAATACACTTCTTTTTTCAGCATTTTTATTTCCTATTTTTATTTTTTGAAACGTAATATAACTTCCGCAATCAGGAATCCATTTAAACTAAAAAAAGCATTGCACTCAAAATGCTAATATTATGTCATAAAAAAGAGTATAGGTCTTTGAATCTTTTTTAATGATTGTCTGCGCTACTTTCTATGCCTACAAAGTGAATATAATTTATTGTATTTTTTTAAAAAGGTTTAATAGACTTTAACAGACTTCATTTTAACAGACTGCTGCAAGTTCTAAAATAATTAATTTTTTCCGCAAATGGTTAAAAAGTACACAAAAGTAACAAATATTTGCACAGCTTGGTTTTTGGTATTGAACTGGAGTACATTTAAATTTCCAAAATTTTGTCTGATAATGCGGATACAGATAGAATACAATAGAATATGCAAAAAACCTCAAAATTACTCCAAAAGTGATAATTTGTGTAATTGCAGAAAAACCTTACTCTATTTTAAAATTAAATCTGCTAACAATTATTGCATAAAAATGTAGAAAAAATTATAAAAGGGTACAATACTGCATTATTAAAGAAAAAAGAAATACTTAATGAAAAAATAACAGAAAACTGTAATTGTAAACAAAACAAAAAAACTTCTCTATGAGTAAAAAAATAATTATCAAAAAATGTGGTAGCTTAATGAGTTGTCAAAAAGAAGCAATACTTTAAAAAGAATTTAATAGACACCATGCTGTTAAAATATCAAACTAAACTTATATTGAAGTACCTGATCTATGTGTATACTCATACTCCAGCAATGTTTCAGCTCGCATTGTTTCAACTGGTAAAGAATACTTTCCATCAATGTATCCATTGTCATATTCACTGTATGAGGTTGATCGCAAAAAATCTCTAACACAATCATAGTTTGACATCTAGATTATTATAAAATGTATTGTTAGAAAAATATTTATATTTATACACATACACACACACACACACACACACACACACAGATATATATATATATATATATATATATATATATATATATATATATATATATATATATATATATATATATATATATATATATATATATATATATATATATATATATATATATATATATATATATATATATATATATATATATATATATATTTATACACATACACACACACACACACACACAGATATATATATATATATATATATATATATATATATATATATATATATATATATATATATATATATATATATATATAGTAACGATTGCTAATGCATATAAGTACTATAGCCACTTTATAACAGAAAAATTTAATTTTTTAGCTTCATACGATATTAGAAAATGGTGTATAGTTGTATAGATATAAAACACAGCTAAGCAATAACTATATTCATTTGTGTAATAATTCGGTTCAGACCAACACATTACAAAAGCACAGAAAATAGTTTGTACTAAGGCTAAGTACAAACTATTATCTACGACAAAAAATATTTGTCACACACACACACACACACACACAGATATATATATATATATATATATATATATATATATATATATATATATATATATATATATATATATATATATATATATATATATATATATATATATATATTTATACACATACACACACACACACACACACAGATATATATATATATATATATATATATATATATATATATATATATATATATATATATATATATATATATATATATATAGTAACGATTGCTAATGCATATAAGTACTATAGCCACTTTATAACAGAAAAATTTAATTTTTTAGCTTCATACAATATTAGAAAATGGTGTATAGTTGTATAGATATAAAACACAGCTAAGCAATAACTATATTCATTTGTGTAATAATTCGGTTCAGACCAACACATTACAAAAGCACAAAAAATAGTTTGTACTAAGGCTAAGTACAAACTATTATCTACGACAAAAAATATTTGTTACTTAGCTGTGTTTTTTGCTTGGCGAAGACTCTTAGCAGTGTTTTATGTTTTATATCTTATTTAAAAATCAAGAACTACATTATGGATTTTTTGCTAAAAACAACATAATAATTTTAATTTTAATAACATAAATTAATTATGTGGAGGAAGGAGGAAATTTTAAACTATATTTGATATTACTATGAAATTTTAAAATAATCTATCTATTTTATGGTTTCTAAACGATGGCTAGTTAAAATTTTGACTCATGTTCAAAAAGTCATAAACCAAAAAATTATAACATAAAAATAAACACTTGACAAATATAAAATCTAAACATAAAAAGACAATTTCTGCAAAACATAAAACATAAATTCTGCAAGCTTTTATTAAAATCACCCATTAAAAGTTTTATATCAATTATTTAAAGTTTTATATCAATTCTTTTATCTTAATTTTTTTTATTTTTTTATTTTGGTCTTAACGATGACGCGGGTGTTTAAAGTAAAAAAACTTTTTTACACGCGCATTAAAATGGGTGATATGAATTGTTTTACTTACATATCACGCATTTTAATGCGTGTTTATGAATTGAGTAGTATCATGGAAGTATAACTTATACTACAAGTTTATACTTCCATGGTAGTATATATCTTCGTAAAAGTTGTAATAAGGCGTTCTTAAAATTGTTCGAATTCTTTTATTACCGTATTATGTCCAAACAAGAGCTTTAGATACTATAATACTTTTTGCTCAGGTTTTTTAATATTAAAGAAACTTTTCTTTTTTTTTAATTATATTTACAAAACCTTTTTACTACCCCTAATAGTGAATCTGAAGAACCAAATTGATCTAAATACCATTTTGGTGTTTTAGGTTAATTTTACTCATCGGCGTTAACAAAAACTCGGTTAAAATCTTTTGAAAAAGTGCCTTAACCCACAATAGATCCTAGTTCTAATCGGTTTTGACGTATATTAACTATATATTGTTGTCAAAATACAATATTTCTATCAACTTTTACAAAAAATACTAGAATTCCGACCAAGAAAGATCTTAAAATAGAGAAAAATTGTCATTAAACGATCAGAATAGATCATATTATTAAACTGTTCATTTCACCTGAAAAACGTATTTATTTAAAATTTTCTTCAAATTTGAACAAGCGATTGTGATTTTATGAAGATTTAAAAAAAAAAAAAAGGAATCTTCGGTCTAGGTTTTTTCAATGCAAACATATTTTATGATGCCGCAAAATTTATCATTTTAATTTTTCCATCTTTTTATAATTCACGGACTCATCATTTAAGGAGAAACACTCCTCCAAAAAAAAACGTTTTTTTTATATTAATTTTTTTTTTTTAGCTATTCTGAAAGTAAATTTATTATGAAATTAAATGGTGCAAATTTTATTCAAAACTAACTTATATTTGTAAAATAAATGACATTTTTGTATGACCACCTATTTGCAATTCTCACCTAGCAGTGCAATTCTCACCTTTTTTTTTCTTTTTTTTTTTATTTTACTTCACCTCCTCAAGGCCGAGAAGGCCACTACAAACGAGGAGGCTACTTATTTTGTGGCTATAACCCTCTCTCAACTCTATAACTCCAAAACACCAACCTTGACGAACAAGGCCGCTGCGCGGAGAAACGAGTTGAGCGCGGTACTACCAGGGACGTGGTGGGGATCGAACTCGGAACCACTCGTTTATGAAGTGAGCGCTCTACCACTACACCACTACCGCCACCACATCTCTACCATATCTCTATAATAATTATAGAGATCAGTGATGTCAAATTAAATAAAATATGGTAAGAAAGCTTCGAAAGCACATGTTACTCTTACAGCCGCGAAGGAACGAAAGTGAACTTCAATATTGTTTTATTTGCCACTGTTATACATGTTTGTTTTTTTATAAGCATAACGTTTATAAGCATATGGAGGCTCAGATTTGGAAAAAAAATAAGCATACGTAAGCATATTCCTGAGCCTCGATAAACCATTTAAAAAATTCAAATTTTATTTATTTTATTATTTTAAATTTTATTTATTTATTATTTAATTGATAACATTTGTATATAGTATATATTTTTTATTATACTGTACTAAAGTCGACTTTTTATTTTTCTTATAACCATTAACCTTTAGTAACGCACTTATTTTTAGAAAGTATTGAAATAAGCATATTTTATTATAAATATGCTTAAGTTTAAGCATATTTTTGAGCCTCTTTTAACTTTTTGCTTAAGCATACCCGAGCCTGTTTCAAAAATTTCATATGCTTATAAAAAAAACATGTATCTGTTTTGAAACCGTTAATCTTATTTTGATTTTATAATTGTTGTTTTGTCAATATTACGGTGCTTCGTTTTCATAACATTCAATTCTTCATTGGCTTTGATCTAGTTAACATTTTTGTGTAAATAGAATAATGTCAATTAGGTAAATAATTCTATAAAACAGTTAGTATTTTTTTAATAATTATGAACGGTTTTTTTTATCTATTGCAAGATGCAGGACATTTTTTAGAGCTATTTACATTTTTAGAGCTAATTATACAGAATATTTAGAGCTATTTACATTTTTAATTTAAAGTTAGTGAAATATGTGGCTTCTTTCGTGGTCCCAAGAACAAGGACTATTTTACTCTTTTTATATATTCTTTATATATTTCGCATCACTCTGTCATCTTTTTATGTCCAAGATTATTAAAAAGATAATCTAAAAAATACATCATTGGTTTAGCAAATTGATAATATTAGCAAAACATCTTCCATTTACAGACAATACTTAAATTAGGTTTATGGACACTTGAACAACAATAACACAGATTTGATCTAAAAGAAGTTTACTAGATAATGTATGAGTTTTATAGACTTATATAGACTTCTATAAGATATTCTTTGAATCAGTGAAAAACAAAAGAAGTAATGGCAACCTATTTGGTTTGCTAAAGCTCAATTTCCTTAACTCAAATCAGATAACCTTTTTTCTTGGATCATGTAATTGACCACTAGATCTTATTTTATTTCAATACTATCTCAATCATTTTTCAGAATTTTTTTTAAAGCATGACTCAACAAGTTGGATATTAAAAAAATGGGTTTTGTCATAGACTAACATCTACGTAGTTTGTCATAGACTAACATCTACGTACTTTACACTCCATAGAGCTTTTGAAGTTCAGGTATAATATATATTTTTAACTGAAGCTAACATTATCTGGAAAAGCGACGATATTTACTATTATGAATATTTAAAGTTTTGTGAACTCGATGTAGTTATGGTGATTTTAAAAATTCTGTTTTTTCCATATTATTTTTCTTTTCTTTTTTTATTTCAGCAAAAATACTGTTGATAAATAGATTTAATTTAGTAAATTTACATGACTGGAATTTACTTTTTTGACCATTAATTGACATTGGATTGAAACATTAAAACAAATATCACCACAAACAAAGTAAGTAGTAATAAAATCACACATAAAAAAATTTAATCTGAGTTAAGGTAAGAAGCAGGGTGGCCACGCCTCCTTAAATTCCTAAAGTATCCTAATATTTGAAAAACATCCTAAAAAGACCTAATTTCTCCTAAAGTATAGGTGATTTTCTCAAATACTCCTAAATTCTCCTAATTTATTTTTCCTGAGTATAATGCAATAACTATTATCAGCCAATCAACAATAAAGTTAATGAAATGGATCAGACTTGTAGTTAGTGCTGCTGTTTACTGATAGAAAATAATTTAATCAAATGTATATTTAATATTTTTGTAATATTTTAATAGTTTAAAAATTTTATTCTAATAAAATTAAAGCTTTTTTTTCTTAATTCTGCCTCAGTTCTGAACATCAAAATTATTTTTATTAAAACTTTATTTTAATTAAATTGACCTAAAACAATTTTGTATATTCAGAATAGAAAATGTCAGTCTAAATTTTAAAAGCGGTTAAAAGACAGAATAGAAAATGTCATAAAGCTAAATTTTAAAAGCGGTT